CGCACGTCCACGCGGGCGCGCCTGCCTGCCACCTGCTGGGCGAGGTGCGGAGCCCCGAGCTCGAGCTCGAGGGGGGCACGGCAGCCTTCAGCGTCTGCGACGGCCTGGTGAGTGCTCCCTGGGCGCTGTGGCCAACTCCCTTCCCCGCCCTGGGGCCTCAGTGGCCACGCCTGTAAAATGGGAGTGAGAACACAGGTTCCCAAACTTCAGTTGGAGCTAGGGTCACCGGCGGGCCATGTTAAAACAGAGTGTCCCATAGGTTAGGTCGGGGTGGGGCCCCAGACTTGCATTTGTGACAGTGTCCCAAACGATGTTGGAGATGTAGGTCCACAGACTCGCTTTGAAAGCCAGTTTGTGGTCTGTGCAGACTAAGCAGCTCAGAAAGCAGCCGAGCCCCTCTTCCTTTGGGGTGTGAGTTTCCCTTCTCTGGCAGCCCTGGGACCAGGGAGTAGGATGTCCTGCTGGCGGTGAGCGTCTGTCTCCAGAGGAGGCCAGGGCCCTGGCTGCTGGGTCAGCATGGCCGTCTGGGTCTCCATCGAAGACACCTGTCGTCTTAGATTTGGACGCACACCCGTTACTCCCACCTAATGGGGTGAGGGGTGGGGTGAGTGCGTGGAGCAGCTTCAACCCCAGGGCCTTTGGCTGTGCGAAATGGCAGGGAAGGGCCTTCCAGGCAGAGGGCACAGTGTGAACAAAGGCCCAGTGCGTCCAGGGTCAGCTGGGGTGGTGGGACAGGGGATGAGCAGCCAGGGTTGGTGCTCCCCGTGTGACATGGAGCTCCTTTCCAGAAAGGTATGTTCCAGCTCTCCAACGAGAACTACTTCATAGAGCCCCTGGAAGGTGTCCAGGCCCAGCCCGGCCGCGCCCAGCCCCATGTGGTATATAAGCGTCAAGCCAGCGACAGGCGGGCGGAGCAGGGCAACTCCACGACTCCAGGCACCTGCGGGGTGCAAGGTATGGTTCTCTGCCTCCAGCTGCAGGGCAGGGGCTGGGCACAGGGCACGGAGGTCCTTTGTAGGAGCCTCCCTCACCATCCCTATGCCTAGCTCCCCTTGGACCAAAGGGGCAGGGACGGACCAACAGACACATAACAGCCTGTGCCCTGCAAGTGTGCCCTGGCCTGAGGCCTCTGTCACGCCTGCCCCAGTTCATCCCTTGGATCGACCCCTTTCTCAGCCACTTCACTTGCCTCCCCCACCTCAGGGCTCAGTCTCCCTGTGCCCTCCCCACTCACAGCCTGTGATGCCTCCAGCTCTGCCAACCGTATTTTTTGAGCCTCTAGGCAAGGCTGAGCCATAGGCACCCCCGCAGGGCAGCTAGCCAGGCGCCTCCCTCCCCTCCCCACTCGGGTCCCACCCCAGAATAACTGACCTTGGTATTGGGGACCTAGTGCATCCGCCAGTGCAGTACAGAGGGAGCCGTCCATCAATGGCTCCTGGGGCTTGGCGACTGCTTGCTGGCACTCCAGCCTCCTAAATTGCCATAGCTGAGGGACTCTGCTGGAACAGATAAATGCTTTTTGGCCTCAGTTTCCCCTGCTGCATAGATGTGATTCCTCCCTGATTCTCAGCCTGGGGCAGAGGGGCAGGCCTCCAGGGGTGTCAGGCCTAGGTCTGCATGTGCTGGGAGGCACTAATGCCTCGTGGGGGAGCCACATGGGGGAGATGGGCCAGGAGGTCCCCTCACGTGGGCACAGTGCTTTACTGTGTCCTGTCCACCATGTCATTGACCCCCTGAGACCACCCTCTGAAGCTGATTGGAGTATTCCTATATATAGTCGGGGATCTCCTGGGTCACAGACCGGAAGTGACACAGTCAGGGTCACATCGCACAGGCCAGAGGCAGAGCCAGCGTGCCCCGGGCCTGTCTAACAGCTCACCCTACTCTGTCCTGGCCCCACAGCATCCCTGGAGCAGGAGTTCCAGCGGCGGGACCTTTGGGACCAGCAGCGGCGTGTCCATCGGCGCTCAGTCACCACAGAGAAGTGGGTGGAGACCCTGGTGGTAGCTGATTCCACCATGGTGAAGCACCACGGTCAGGAGCACATCGAGCGCTACGTGCTGACCATCATGAACATGGTGAGGCTGCCAGGGGGTGGCACTGGCAAACTGCACAAATGGGCAGGAAGGCTGGCAGGCTGGCCCCAAGGCCCAGGCCCCAAGCAGGAGGAAAAGTCTCTAAGCTCTTGAGTCCAGGAAGTCCCTTGGAGGGAGCTGGGCACGGGTGGGGCCTTGGGGGCTGCTGTGAGGACACCACTGGGCGTCACCCAGCTCATTGGCTCTGCTGGTGTTTGGGGGTCAGCCTCTACCTGCTTCTAGGACCCGAGCTGAGGGTGTCATTTATCCAGTGGAAACACCCATACTGGCCTTAAGCCATTAGCAGACACCCCCTGGTCAAGTTTGTCAACCAGGCGTGACTGTGTCTCCTGCCAGTTATCTCCCAACACGTGTTTTGCTCCCATACTTCTTGGGAGACAGTATGGGGGTGCTCAGCCCCAACTCAGGGTGTAGGGTGGGCCAGTTGTCTGGCAGGTCTTAGCAGACCCTTTGCTGGGGCTGCTGCCAAGGTCACCTATTTGTACTGTAGGAAAGACTTGTTCTTTTCACTTCACTTTCTCTGGGGTACTTTTCTCATTTCCCACTGTTGCTTTAAAATGAGAGCATGCCTGGTAACCCTTAGCAAGCACCCGAGATCATTCACTCATTCAACAAATATTTCTTGAGTCCCCACCATCCGACTTTGGGGGTGGCCTTCTCTCCCGGGCAGAGTGGGGAGCCCCTTGCATAAGTTGGGGAGGCGTGTGGGCAGCCTGCATGCACTGCGGAGCTCCCCTGTGTGTGAACATGGGTGCGGGTCAGGGGTGGACAGCGGCTGCCCATATCCTAGGTCTGGGGTGACAGCCTGACCCCCTCTCTTGGGCAGGTGGCCAGCATCTACCTTGACCCCAACATCGGGAACCCCGTCTACATCACTGTCGTGCGCCTGATCCTGCTGGAAGAGGAGGAGGTGAGAGGCCGCGTGACCACACTGCCTGGGTGTGGAAGACACAGTGAGGGCCTCCGTGGCCCAGGCAGTGTCACCTGTCACCCCCAGTCCCTGCTGTTGGGTCATCTCTCAGGTCCCCCCAGGAGATGCCTGCAGGAAGAAGGGGGTGGTCAGGCTGGCTGCTGTCCTCCCGCTGCCCCCTCTGGGCATCTGCGTCCTAATTCTATGAGGAGACTGGGCCTGAGCCTTTGGAGCTCAGGGGACCGGCATGAGTGGTCACACGCTCTGCTCGCAGGAGGAGATGAATGTCACACACCACGCGGACAGGACCCTGAGCACCTTCTGCAAGTGGCAGGAGAAACTCAACATGAACTGGGACTCCCACCCACTGCACCACGACACCGCTGTATTGCTCACCAGGTGCCACCGGCTGGGGGGAAGGGGCCAACCCTCAGGGAGCCCAGCCCGGCTCTCAGGACCCACATTCTGCCGGGGGTCCATGTCAGCACTCAGATTCCTGTTTGGAAACAATGGTGGATTGTCATGCAGTTGTCAGAAATAGTACAGACAGCCCGGCCGGGCGTGGCTCAGCGGTTGAGCGTTGACCTAGGATCCAGGCGATCGGGGTTCGATTCCCGGTCAGGGCATATGCTCATGTTGTGGGCTGCAGCAGATCAATGACTCTCATCATTGATGTTTCTATCTACCTCTCTCCCTCTCCTTCCCTCTCTCTGAAATCAATAAAGATATATTTAAAAAAGAAAGAAAGAAAGAAAGAAATAGGACAGACACTACCCTCACCCTGGGGAATATCTGGCATCACCCTAGTGCCATCACCCAACCAGCAAGGGGCACAGATCCAGGCACGGCCCCACTCAGACTTCACTTTGTCACAGGCACTTGTGTGTGTGTTTAGTTCTGTGCAGTTTTTATTTTTTATATGTTTTTATTGATTTCAGAAAGAGGAAGGAAGAGGGAGAGATAGAAACATCAATGATGAGAGTCATAGGTCAGCCGCCTCCTGCATGCTCCCTACTTGGGATCAAGCCCACAACCCGGGCCTGTGCCCTGACCAGGAATCGAACCATGACCTCCTGGTTCATGGGTCAATGCTCAACTGCTGAGCCACACCGGCTGGGCTAGTTCCGTGCAGTTTTATCGTGTTCAGCTGCCAGTCTGTTCAGAGGCAGTGTTTTTGAATTCTGCGTGGAGTTCTTTCCCCTCATTTGGGCTCCGGCAGATATGAGCAGGGTCCACTCCCTGGGCCCAGTAGTGTCCGGTGGGGCCTGTGTGAGTGAGGGCATCTCTGTCCCCTTGGTTGCTGCATGGGCCCGATGTCTTGGGAGCAACGGGCAGGCCTCCTTGCTCCCTCCCTGGGATCCCTGGCTCAGGTGGGCCTGGCACGGGGCCAGGCGAGCCTGAGGGCCATGTCTCTCTGTCTGTGCAGGACGGACCTGTGTGTGGCCATGAATCAGCCCTGTGAGACCCTGGGCCTGTCCCACGTAGGGGGCATGTGCCAGCCCCAGCGCAGCTGCAGCGTCAGTGAGGACACGGGCCTACCCCTGGCCTTCACCGTGGCCCACGAGATTGGGCACAGGTACCTCACAGCCCCCACTGCCACCTTCCAAACTAGGGGCACCGGGCAGCCAGGCCCACAGGCCTCAAAATCCCAGGGAAGGGTGCCCCTGGCCATACACTGTCCCTGCATGTCCCATCCACAACCAGACTGTTTCCCTGTTAAACAAGAGAGAGGCCCTTGGGGGATCTTGGGCTGGCCTGGAGCAGGTATTGTTTGATGGGCTGGGACAGGCCAGACGGGTTGGGACAGGCCAGACGTCCCCAGCGGGCATTCGTCTCAGTGCTTGCATTTTTGACTCTTGGTCTCTACTAACTGCTCTGTGGCCCTAGGCAAGTGTCCTGCCCCCCTGAGCCTCTTTGTGCTCCCTGGGTGATTGGAGTTAGTGATATCCAAGGCCCCTTCATGGGACATGTCTGCTCGAGGGTCACGGACATGTCTGCTCGAGGGTCACGTCTAACCGTGGCCTGTGCCCTCAGCGCCCTGTGCCGGGGGCTGCTTAGCTGGTGAATGTGGCGGCGTTTTTAGACTGTTCGGAGCCCATGATGGCAGGCGCCCAGATCGTGCTGTTGGGGTCGTTGTGTGGATTCCCCGGGTTCCCTGGCTGACGGCCATCTATGCAGGGCCTTGGAAAGCTGCCTGTGGCTGTAGAAAGAACACACTGCTCCAAATTAGCCATTTCCAGGCTGTGTTACACCGGCTACTTCTTAGCCTCTCTGAGCCCCTCCAGGAGAAACAATGCCCTCCTTGGGTACTTCTGAGAACTAAAAGACGAAGCATTTCTGAAAGGGCTCAGTAGGGTGCCTGGCACATAGTAGGTGCCTAGGAAACACAGTTTTTCTCATGTCCTTCCTAAGGATGGTCTCATGGCCTTTACTGGGATACAGCAGCTCAGACTCCTTTAAGGTGATGCAAAGCCTTGGGACAAGGACCTGGGCCAAGTGGGAGGACCTCTGTCAGACTGTTCTTGGTGGCAGTGAAGCTGCAGGGGCCACGGTGGGCCGCCATCTGTGCCCCCTGGCTTTCCACCGTTGCCAGCCTGGGGGCAGGAGCTGCTTGCTCTAGGTCCCTGGCACCCATTCAGGCTCTGGCTGGTGCAGCTGAAGGAGGCCCTGCTAGATACTAGCCTCATGGCACCCATTTTGCAGAGTAAGGAAACTGAGACTCAGAGAGGAGAAGTAACTTTCCTAAGGCCACACAGCTGTCTGGTGGCCGAGCCAGCCCTGGAACCAGGATCGGGCACCTCCCTGGCCGCAGGGGCGGGGCAGGCTGGCCCCTTCCCCCAGCTCACCCTGCCCCGGGCCTGTGCTCTCCCGCAGTCTTGGCATCCAGCACGACGGAACCGGCAACGACTGTGACACGCAGGGGAGACGGCCTTGCATCATGTCCCCACAGCTGCTGTATGACACCTCCGCGCCCCTCACCTGGTCCCGCTGCAGCCGCGAGTACATCACCAGGTTCCTCGAGTAAGCCCCTTCTTCCCTGGGGCCCTGCCCGCGGCCCCGAGGTCAGGGTCTGAGGACAGTGGCACCGAGGTGCCAGGCAGAGGGACGTGCAGGGGCAACGGCTTCGGACAGGGGCCTCTGTGCCCTCCTATTGCGCTTTCACCTCGGCGCACGAGGTTACACGAATTGTCCCCCCCTGCTCCCTGCTAAGTGTCTGTTTCCTTTGATTTATTACTTAAGTTATTTCTTTGCTGTGCCAGGTTTTTCTTAAAATGGCTCGGCTGTATTTCCTGTCCTGGGGTGGCAACTGGCGGGGGGGGGGTCTGTGGACCTACAGGACTCCTCTGAGTCACCGCCAAGGGCCTGGTTGCCATAGGCACGGTCCTTTGGGGCATCTCCAGGTGTCGGCATCGGAGGTCCTTTTCCTGAGTGACTCAGCCCCCAGAGAGGAGATCTCTAGTCTTTTCCTGGGAGGGGGGAAGTGTGGCATCATCTGCACATCCTGGCAGCCACCAGGGAAGGGGCATGGCTGGCGTCTCAGAGTCCCCGTGTAGACGTTTGCATGTCCCCTTTCCTCTGCCTCGGGCTTCCAGCTGGTGGTCTTGGGCCAGGTCTCCGGGTCCACGGTCTGCCGGGCGGGACATGGCCATCGCCCGGCCACACAGTGTTGGGGAGGGATCTAGGGTCCAATGGGGTCTTTCCAGACCTTGAGCCAGACGTCCCGGGTGCTGCTTTGGGGTGGCCCCCGCTGCAGGCCCCCGCTCTCAGCTCTGGCCGCACCACCTCCTCAGCGGCTGCTTGGCCACCGGCTTTCCAGAATCTCCCTGGCATCTCTCGCCTGCCATCGTTGCCTCTGTCTTGTGGCCTGTGCCTTGTTGATCCCTTTGCTGTCGTAGTGGGGCTCTGGAAGCTGGTGGAGATAATTTTCTATGTGCTACGTTTTTCTTGACGTCCGCTCCCTGTGGGGTTTGGGCAGGTACGTCACCACATCCATGCTGGATGTGAGAGCAAGGCCTCCGGCCTCTGATATCGAGGGGTGGCCGGGGCCAGAGTAGGGCTGGAAGCAGAGAGTCGAGTTGGATGGGTAAGAACCTGGACTCTGGCCCAGGCTTCTGCCCCCCGTGGGCAGACAAGTTATATTCTTCCTTAAGCCTGATAAGGAGGGGTCTGGTGGCTCTTGGATTAATATCAGGAATCAGTGAGCAAGCATTTGATGTGTTGAGGTGCCACATGCTTAGCATTCAAGGCTGGGTCACTGTTATCACAGCTGAAGGTCACAGGTGATAAGGAGCTGAACTAGGGAATGGGCCCCTGGGTTGAAAACCCCCCAGGGGATGTCTGTTCCCCCAGATGGGGCCAGAGAAAGGGCTGGAGAATCAGAACAGATGCCTCGGGGCTAGTCCCCAGCTGCCCCGCCCAGGGTGCTACTGAGCACCCTGGCTCATATGCGAGGGACTTGGCTCGAGGCCTGGGGGACAGTGGGGGGAGAGGGTGACAGCCTGAGCCACCTGGCCTCCCACGACCTCGAGATAGAGTCAGGTTCGGCCAGTGGAGGGGTGCTTGGGAGGGGGAACCTCCCCTCCCCCAGGTTGGCCTGGCCCACCTCACCATCCGGAGGGCCAAGCAGGTGGGGCGTCACAAAGGCCCAGGACAGATGAAAGGAGAGGGGTGTCTCTCCCCCAGCCTCTGTGCCCCCCATCTTTTTGCTGGGGATGGGATGGGAGACAGAAGACACCCCCCCCCCGATAAGGTGGGGACAANTGCCCCCCATCTTTTTGCTGGGGATGGTATGGGAGACAGAAGACCCCCCCCCATAAGGTGGGGACAGAATGAGCGAGATTCACGGGAGGTGCCAAGTGGGGTCAGGCAGTGCCCCTGGTCTTGGGGAGGCTCAGAGGCGCTGGGACCACCTGGCTGTCCCCGCTGGCACTGGACTGTCCTTGGCCATGCAGACCCAGGCGTGAGTGACACCCGCTCTGATCTCAGAGTCACATTCCTGCTGTAGCAATAAACCCCAAACATGCCCTGTGCTCAGAGAATAGCTGTAAAGGACACAGATGGGGCACTTGTCCTCCGGCCCACCCCACCTGGGGGACAGGCATGTAACAGTTCGGGAGGTCAGTGCTGTGGCAGATGGCCCTTTGGGTGTGTAGGAATCTGGAGGGGGCACTGGTCCCTCCTGGGGTCGGGGATGTCATCTCAGGAGCCTCAAAGCTGCCCTCTAAGGACTCACGGGGCATCCGGAGGAAGGGGGCGCTCTGGGTGCGGTGCGAGGTGTGGTCAAGGGCGGGGGCGGGGAGGAGACGCCCCCTCCCCTGTGCCCTCGAATCCGGGGTTCCTGCAGGACAGCGGCTGTCCCCAGCGCGTGTCCCGTCCTTCACTGCACCCCACGCCCCCACCAACTGTGGCTCTGTGACCAGGCCCTGGGGGTGGCGAGGGGAGGCCTCTCAGGTGGCGGGCAGGGGCTTTGGACTGGAGCCAAGCACTGTCTGCTGTGTCTCCACGTGGGGCCACCAGCCCTGCTAGGCTGATGGGCTTGGGGCTCCGGGTGTGTCTGCTGCGTGAGGAGCCAGCCTGGCAGTGAGCCGACCAGAGGAAGGAAGGGCCGGCTGTGGCCGCCTGTGTGACTGTCCCCAAGTAGATGCTGCTATTTATATCTCTGTAGTGTGAGGTCACACCAGCAGCCTCGACCTCTTGCAGATGAGGACATGAAGGCCCAGAGAGGGTGAGGGATGACCCAAGGCCACACAGTATCCATAGCCAGGTCGAGAGCAGAACTTGCGCCTCTGACTCTCCAGTTCACACCTGGGCCTGGATGTGGCCCTGATTCTAGCGGTGGGTCCCGTGAGGGGCTCCTTGGGGCCCCCTCCTTCTCACCCTCCTATAGGATGGACCTGACATGTTGTTATTGCTCTGGCAGCCCTGAGGCAGGTCAGCGCTGGGACCCAGCCAGAAAACAGGCTGCATGTGGCCTGGGAGCTGCTGGTGTGGGGGCTGAGGGAGCACCCAGCCCACATCTTGATGGAAAGGAAGAGACCCCAGGCCGGGGTGACCCGCCCACCCCCTAGCCGACATTCTGCCCCAGGGTGCAGGCCCAGAGAGCCCCCAGAACCCTCTTTCTCCCCACCAGGCCATGGTTCTGAACTTACATTTTGGGTGAAGTGTTGGAGGCCAGGTTCGTGGTGGGATGGGAGGAGCCCTGCACTGGGGACAGCCCCACGAGTGGACACGCAGGGGTGCCAGCAGCCTGGGCCTGGCATCATATCCTGATCATTACTGCCCTCCCACATCANCTGGGGACAGCCCCACGAGTGGACACGCAGGGGTGCCAGCAGCCTGGGCCTGGCATCATATCCTGATCATTACTGCCCTCCCACTGCCCTGAGCCCTGTGTCACCCGTGTCGGCAGAGGCAGGGCTGCCCCTGGCTCTCCCAGGGCTAGGTCCTCGCACAGATGACTGGGTCTCAGCCCCAGTGGGGCCGTCAGAGGTCTCCGGGGGTATCGGCTGTGACGTGATGCTCTCCAGGTCCCTGTGGGCCATCAAGGCCCCAGGCTGAGGGGTGGAGGCCGCAGGAACTCGGGGCAGGGCCGCATGAGGCCTTAGCTGCACAGAGTTTTCTGGGGAAGGGCCTTTGGGCTGGATCTGGAGGAGAGAAGCCTCCCGTAGAGAGTGAGAAGAGCATTGTTGGGGAACAGCTGGGCAGAGCCTGGCACTGGGGTGCGGGCGTGAGTCGTTTGGCCCAGAGATGAGGTGGGTTAGGCCTGCAGGGCCTGGGTGCTGGGCTGGGGTCCCAGGACAGGTTGGGGTGGTGGGATCCTGCAAGCTTGGGGTTCTTTCCCTTTCCAGTCTACCCTGCCCTCCGGCCCCGCCGAGGCCTCCCCTGGATGGGTCTCTCAGGCTGTTTCCCTCACCCCACCCCACTGTCCCATCTCTGCAGCCAAGGGTGGGCCACGTGCCTGGATGACCCTCCCAGCAAGGACATCATCAACAACCTCCCCTCCGTGCTGCCCGGTGTCCTCTATGATGCGGACCACCAGTGTCGCCTCCAGTATGGGCCTGGCTCTGTGTCCTGCAGGGATTTGGACGTAAGTGTAAGTGTGGGGTCAGGGGTAGGACTCCTCAGCCTGTGGACGCCTGCCCTGGGCCTGCATGTGACACTCGCCGGGAGAGACCTCAGGTTAGGTGGCCACAGGCCCAGGGCTGAATTCTGGGTGGACTGTCACCAACTGTGGGACTGTGGGCAAAGCCCTCCCCCCCCCGAATGGATCCTAAGAGGTTAAACAAAACCTATGCTTCTGGGTCCTGGGGAAGGTTGCCTGACGTGATGGCCACGGGCATGTTACCCAGACCCCGTGGCTTCTGGCCTGGGCTGGAGTCTGCTCCTACCAGCGAAGCTGAACCTCAGGGTCGCCACAGCACCACATGGTCCAGAGAAGACAAAAGGGGCCTTTGAAGGTCCCATCTGCTTAGCCCTACTGTGTGCCAGCCCTGTGGAGGGGCCCCGGGGACTAGTGGGACATCGAGGGGGCACTGGGAGGGGGTGAGAGTGTGGCCCTTGCCTTTTTCCTGCAGAACGTCTGCCACACACTTTGGTGCTCTGTGGGGACCACCTGTCACTCCAAGCTGGATGCGGCCGTGGATGGTACCAAGTGTGGGGATAGCAAGGTAGGGGTGCCCCAGCCCAGCTGTGCAGGTGGGAGGGAGAGGCTAGACTTTGTGCTGTGTCCGTGGGGGGGTTGGAGGTGTCAGCCCTGACCCACAGGCTGGCGTAGTGCTGTTAGCAGACCCCTGGCCCTCTCCTCCCAGCCCCCCTCTGCAGAATGGAGGTGTGGGGGCTCGATTCAGTGACTCTCCCAGGCATCTTTAGCTCAGAGTCAGCCCCTGGGCTGATTCATTCTCTGCTCTGCTCCCCTGTGGGGCCTGGGTCTTGGGTGACTAGAAGGGGACCTCTCCTACCCCTTCGATACTTCCCCTTTGTGCCTTCCCAGGCCTTCCACCCGCCTGTTTCTCACTAGGGTGAACATGACTGATAGGCTTGGGGTGGCTGCCCTACCTCCATGTGTCTCCGCAGTGGTGTCTGAAGAGGGAGTGCGTTCCTGTGGACCACCAGCCTGTGACAATGGACGGTGGCTGGTCCGGCTGGAGTGCCTGGTCCGCCTGCTCGCGGAGCTGCGGCGTGGGCGTGCAGAGCTCCGAGCGGCAGTGCACGCAGCCTGCGTGAGTGTGGCACCTGGGCCCGGTGGGGTCGAGGGCACTGAGCAGAGTGTCAACTGAAGGAACCTGGCTCTGTCCAAGCCTCCTTCTATCAGAAGTGTCCCCAGAGAGGCCGAGTCTGGAGTGTCCGGCCACCTTGGGTCACTTGTAGGAGTGTCCCAGAAGCTGACAGAGCCCCCCACTGCTGATCCATTGCAGAGAGGGGAACACCAAAGCCCAGAGACTGGAGGGACTCATCAGAGGCCACATGACAAAGCAGCCTGGCTGAGAGGAGGGGACAGTGGTCAAGAGCTTAGACCCTGGCCTGAGATGGGTCAGGGTTCAAGTCTCCCCTCCACTCCTGTGTGAGGGCCTGCTCACCCCTTGTCTGGGCCTCAGTTTCTAGAGAAGCTGTGTGATGGGGTCCCAGCAGTGCCCCTGGTGGGGCTGTGGCCAGGGGTACATGCAGCTAGTTCACGTGGGACTCAGGAAATAGGAGCCACTTGGTGGCATCAGAGTGGGTCTGAGAAGAGACCAGGAACAGCTGGGAGAAGTGGTCATCTGGGAGGGGGGTGCTTTGTGACCTGGGCCGAGTGACTTCCCCTCTTGGGGTCTCAGTTTCCCCATCTGAGAGTGATGTGAAGATTTGGGGACATGCGGAGGCCCCTTCACTAGGCTTCCCTGGGGGCGTGGGGTTCAGAGCCAGCCCCATCCAGGGCCTTGTGTGTGGCCAGGACTGTGGCCCTACCCCTGCCTCATCCTGACCCGCAGTCTGAGCCAGGATGAGGGTTTCAGGCGGGGTTTCCTCCTGACCTGGGTGGGTATGGTTGGTCTGCCCACGCGTGGGCTCATCAGGACACTGGGTGCCACGGGCTGGAGACTCAGAGCAGCCAGTGCTGGTCAAGTCCGCAGCTTGTCCCAGCCTGTCCACAGTCCCCTGCAGAGAAAGCTCCAGCCCCATTTTCTAGAGGAAGAAGCCCCAGGGTCACACAGGGCAGGTTGGGGGCAGTGCGAGCAGAGGCGGGCGGCAGGTGCCAGCTCTGAGCCCTGCCCGGCTCTGCCCACAGGCCCCAGCACAAGGGCAGATACTGCGTGGGCGAAAGGAAGCGCGACCGTCTCTGCAGCCTGCAGAACTGTCCCCCAGGCCACCCCACCTTCCGCGAGGTCCAGTGCAGCCAGTTCAACACTGTGCCGTACAAGGGCCAGCTGCACAAGTGGGTGCCCGTGGTCAAGGATGGTGAGTCCTGAAGGTTCCCCGGGGCTCAGCCCTGGGCTGCTCCTCCCTGGCCCCCGGGGGGCCCCCCCCTCGCTCCCGGGGTGCCCCCCCCTTGCTCCGCCTGCTGCTCGGCGCCTGGCCTGGCTGCCTTCTCTGCATGTCCTGGAGGTGGTCTTCCTGGTGGCCCCCATGACCCCTGCCCTATTGTCCCTCATGGCTCCTGCACTTGTGCCCCTAGAGGTCCCCTGTGAGCTGTACTGCAAGCCCACGAATGAGTCTTTTGCTGCGAAAATGCGAGATGCCGTGGTGGACGGCACGCCCTGCTACCACGGCCGGGCCAGCCGAGACCTCTGCATCAACGGCATCTGCAAGGTGTGTCCCACAGGAGGGTCTCCGCCACTGGCCCTGCCCACGGCAGCCTCCTCCGAGTCCCTCCCCAGGCCCACCATTGGCTCCCCTGCTCTGCCGGTGCCACTGTTCAATGCGCCCCCTGCCCGCTCAGCAGTCCTGATACCCTCATGGCCCCCTTGACTCCCTCGCCCCCCTGGCTACCCCCCGCTTCCCCCACATGCATCTCGTTGAGGCACAGCCCTGGTCAGGAAACTGGAGCCCAGGCCGTGGCTCGACCTCCTCCTGGCTGGGTGACCCCCCCAGGAAGTGGTTTCCTGTGCGGTAGAAAGGGGACCGAAACCACAGCACCAGGTTAAGTGAGGTCGTTTAGTAGGTCTCAGGACCTGGCAGAGGGAGCGAGTGTCACCCTTTGCTCGCAATACTTTGTCTCACTTCCAGCAAGACCAGCAGCCTCACCTCTGTGCTTGTGTCCCAGCCACTGTCTTTCTGCTGCTCCTGGGAGGTGATGCCACTGAGCTAGAGGCCTGGGCTCCAAGGCGGGGCAGCAGGGGGTGCCAACCCCGGGACCTGTGGGGCTGATTCCTGTCCACACTGGTCACCCATGGAGTGCTGGCCCCCCGGCCACTGCCCCTTGCACAGAATCTGCCCCATGTCTCGTCTCCCGCAATCTCACAACCTGCCTTTACGGCTCGGATTCACCTCCCCATTGCCCATGTGAGAAAACCGAGGCCGCATCTGAGAAAACCGGGGCTCAGAGAGGCAAAGGGGTTTACCTGGGGCGTCCTCCTGAGCCCCACACCCTAGCCCCGGGGGCCTCCCCTCTGTGTGTTTCAGAAGGTGGGCTGCGACTTTGAGATTGACTCGGGTGCCGTCGAGGACCGCTGTGGCGTGTGTCACGGTGATGGCTCCACCTGCCACACTGTGCGCAATACCTTCCAGGAGGAGGCTGCGGGCCGGGGTATGGGCAGGACCACTGGTGGGGGGACCACTGGCCCTTCCTTGTCTCCCCTTGCCCCCCATTGTCTCCACTGGGCAGGGAAGCCGAAGTGCTTGGTCCAGGATCCAAGCACACAAGACACTTGGCCCAGATGCACTGACCTGTCCCCACAGGGCATCCTCCTGCCCCACGGAGCCCAGGCTGGGCCCATCAGGCTTGTGGGGAGCTCTCAGCCCTTTCAGAGGGTTATTGCCTTGTTATGAAGCTTCAGAGACTCCTCACTCCCTCAGCTCAGGGTGTTCTGCACACATTGTTTAGGTGTCCACTGTATACCAAGTGAGGGGGACGTGGAAGTGACGCGCTCACAGTCTGACAGGGTGACAGAACCTTTTAGCCTCACAGACACAGCAGAGGGAGGCCCAGAGGGCTGTGAGAGCACAGAGGGAGAAGTCTATGACCTGGGGAGGTCAGGGAGGACTTCCTGTAGGAGGTGGCAGTTGAGCTGAATCATAAAAGACTCAGACAGCAGAGGCACGACCCATGGACTAAAGAGCTTGTGCGAAACAAAGCCTGGGGGCAAGAAGGCGCCTGCCTGGTGGGTCTGGGGCCTGTAAGGAAGGCAGAGTTGCTTGGGGCCTTGAGTGCTCACCCAAGAAGCTTAGATTTTATCCCAGAGAAGCTGCCCAGCACAGTGGTTGAAGCTCAAACCCTGCAGCCTGGTGCACAGCCGAGCAGAACCCTTGGGCCCCATTCTGTGCCTCAGCATCCCCACCTGCAACATGTACCTATGGCACAGGGTTGTTACCTGGGTGAAGCACTTAGAGCAGCCCCAGGCATGGGACAGACACTGAAATAAGAGGACAAACAGCCTGTGTGGAGGGAGGAGGGTGTCGCAGGGACCCTCATGGTTGGAATGGTGACGCTGACCCTGAGTGTAGGGCGTGGGCCAGCTGTGCGACAAAGACCAGCTAAGGTGTCTGGGACAGGGCGATGGGACAGGATCAGAGGACCCCTTTGGAGGTGTTGGTGACCTAGGACAGATGTAACCATCTGCTCCCAGGGAAGCTCAGAATCTTAAGCCAAAGGGGGGGGGTCCTTGGCAT